AGAGCTAGAGCTAATTATTAACTTTGCCTTATATTCTTTTGATCTATTTGAAAAAAGCAACTATGCCTGGAGTGGGTATGTATAGAGCAGTTTCAGATAATAAGTATCAATGTAGGTATCTTTCTGTAGCTTGCCCTTTTCACTGGCCATGTTTTTTGTTTTGTTTAGTTGCGGTTTTTGGCTGGGGCGGGGTTTGAACCCACCACCTCCGGTATATGAGGCTGGCGCCCTACTCCTTTGAGCCACAGGTGCCACCCTTCACAGGTCATATTATGTGTTTGTGTTTTTCACTTTGTCATCCTGGATTGAATGCTGTGGCATCATAGCTCACAACAACCTCAAACTCCTGGATTCAAGTGATACTTCCACCTCACCCTCCCAGAGTATTAGGATTATAGGCGTGAGCCACTGCCCCTGGCCATGTTGTGGATTCCTTTTTGTGTTAGTAGGTATAGCTCAACCATTCTTTTCTGTACGGTTCTCATTATGATGCCTCTGTCATAAGATTTCATACTGGGGCACAGCCTCCTCCGTTAGTGTTCTTTTATAGGTCTCATCACATTTGCCTCAGTGATGTAATTGAAAGCTCACTGAATGCTCAGCCTGACTGAGCTATTTGAAGGGTGGCACTTCTGCCTGCCAAGGTACTGTGGCTCTAGGGTGACTCATTTGTGTTACAAGGTGTTACCATGAGCTGAGCTGTGTGTTCCCTCCTCGGCTGCTGATGACAAAAATTGAAGAGGAACTCAAGCATTGCTCGATCAAAATTCTCAGCAAGGTGGGCATTCTGGGCCCAGCTCTCGGTCCTCAGTGGAGCCAGGCAGAGTCTCTTGGACAGCAGAGGACAGTAGGGAGGCTACCACTTAGAGTAGGTTTATGTTTACAGCAATGATGCGGTACATGGTGGTATTTTTATAAATGTACTATTATATATATTTGTTACACAGGTTTTTGTCTGATGAAAATAGTCTGGAGTATAAATATTATAAGCTGAAGTTAGCAGAAATGCAGCAGATAAGCCAGACCTTACCAGGAGCTGATCAGAAGCCAACCTCAGCGGAGTGTGCAGTGCGGGCAATGCTGTATGCCCGGGCAGTCCGCAACCTCAAGAAGAGACTGCTTCCGTGGCAGCGTCGGGGGCTCATCCGTACTCAAGGTCTCCGGGGCTGGAAGGCAAGGAAAGCGAGCACTGGGACTCAGACCCACTTGTCTTTGGGCACGAGGCTTAAGCACCACAGCCGGCAGGCTCCAGGGCCCTTTCGGGCAAAGCCATTGCTACCAGACAGAAACAATGCTGGGAAGGATTGCCCACCAGACCCTGCCAAACCTTCTCCTTGTGACTCCACCCCAGAAGCCTCAGGCCCATCCCCCAAGGCAGCAGGAGTGGATATCTCTGAAGCCCCTCAGACCTCCTCTCCTTGCCCATCTGCTGACGGTGGGTGCTTACTCCGGTCCCTCTCCTCTGGGCTCCAATCCCAACTCTCCCATGTCCAGGGTCTTTCCACAAGTGGGGGGTTTAACATTTTGGGTGAGGCAGCAACAACTACAGGGACCTAGCCAGGACAGGCGCATGTGGAGGTACTTTCTCTCTTGCTTCCTTGACAGGGTCACGAGTAACTTCTGCTGCCCCTTCCTTCTCTCCTGCACATGAAACTGGCACAGGTACTGCATGAGAGTTCTGTGGTTCCCAGCAGAGTTCTGGTGCTAGGGCAGCCATGCCATGTGCAGGTGCTTGAGATCTCATGCCTGAACTGTGGCCTTGACTCCTTTGATGTTCCTCAGGTTCTGCCTCCTCTTCCTCAAGGTCTCTACAGCTCTCTTTTCAGGGTTAGCTGACCTGCACCACTTCTGAACTGACTTAAACTCCTTCTTTTTCTCCTGGTCACCTTAGCCACTTGTGGCTTTCTGACCTCTGACTAGCCCTTCCCACTCAGCACTAGGTGGGAATGCAGAGGGTAAAAAAAGCAATGGCTGCATTCTCTAGCTATTGCTGTGTCATGGCTACTCCAAGCTGAGACTTAAGACAGCAGGTGTCTGGTATTATTCTGAGGCTGCTGGTGTCAGGGACATCCACTGACCTGGGACCATGTGTGTGTCTGAAGGCAGTGGCAGGGGCTGTTAGCTAAGGTGACATGGTGGCTGAGCTATTACCTTGTCACTACCTCCAGCAGCCAGCTGAGGGTCATTCACCTGACGTCAAAGTTAGGTCTCTGGGAGAGGCAGTGGATGTGCTTGAGGCCTCTGAGGCCTAGGCTTGGAACTGGCAACTGGCACTTCTGCCCCATTCTATAGCCAATGCCAGTTCCATGGCCAGCCGTGATTCAAGGGAGGAAACAGAATCCACTTCCTGCTGGACAGAGCTGCAGAGTCACATAGTGAAGGATGAGGCTGTAGGGGGAGGACACTCAAGGCCGTTTTTATAAAATCAGTCTCCACAGCCCTACAATATTCATGCAGGAGGCAACAGCTCAGAAGCAATGCATGACAGATGCTTTATGTTTTGTAGTTGACATGAAGACAATGGAGACTGCAGAGAAACTGGCCAGATTTGTTGCTCAGGTGGGACCAGAGATAGAACAATTCAGCATAGAAAACAGCATCGATAACCCTGACCTGTGGTATGTACCCCGCCCCCCGGGTCTCATCACATCCTTTTGATCACCCCACAAGCATGTGCTGAGAGCCTGCCTACAGGGCACAGGGCCCATGCTCTCGTGCCTCAGGTTATACCAGGGATAAGTTATGACTTTACTTAAGCTAAGCCACAGCTTTGAGGGAGAAGCATCTGTTCTGTGGGACCAGGGGAAGAGAAAGAGATGAGGATTTGCTGCATGTGCAGTGATAATTAGTCTTTGCTTAGGTCTCAACAACAGGCACTTGGACACAGTGGTGGCATGGCATCCTCATGCTGGGATGGGGCACCTTGACTCTTTCCACTCCTCTGGTGAGTGAGGTGTGTCAGCATATAGTCTGTAACTGACAACCAGAGCTGGAAGCCATCTCTGCCCCTGGGAGTTTTTCTGTGAGGGTGACAAGGAGGCAACTCCTTCAGAGAGAGGCTGCCTAGGGGACTATGTGCTCCTATTACTGAGCCATGGCCGTGCTGGGTCCCTCTGGACTCCTTGTGCTGCTTCCAACTTGCTGGAGTGTCATGCTTTAGTAATTAAAAATGTATTTGGGGCCAGGTGTGTGGCTAACACCTGTAATCTTAGCACTCTGGGAGGCAGAGGCAAGTAGATTGCTTGAGCTCAGGAGTTTGAGACCAGTAAGAGCAAGACCCCCTCTCTAAAAATAGCTGGGCATTGTGGAGGGCTCCTATAGTCCCAGCTACTCAGGAGGCTGAGGCAAGAGAATTGCTTGAGCCCAAGAGTTTCAGGTTGCTGTGAGCTGTGATGCCATAGCACTCTACTGAGGGCAACAAACTGCAGCTCTGCCTTCAAAACAAAAAAATATATTTGAACACTCTAGCCTGGGGCAACAGCGTGAGACTCTGTCTCAAAAATATATATACATGTATATAGTTGAAAACCTGCATTTCTCAGAGTATTTGAGATCTAGTAGTGTTAGAGTATACCTTTACAGCTTACTTGGGACCTGACTGTGTGAGCTGTGTCCTCTGCAGCCATCCTGGGGGAGGTGTGTGTGCGTGTGTGTGTGTGTGTGTGTGTGTGTTTGGGGGTGGGGATCCTCATTGTGGCTTTCATCTATGTTTCTCTGATGTCAGATGGTGCTGAGCATCTTTGCATGTGTTTGTGTGCTTTCTGTACTTCTTTCTGTGCTTCTGGATGGAATGAAGTGTCCATTCAAGTCTTTCTCAGTTTTATTATTAGATATTTTATTATTGATGAATTTTGAGAGTTTATTACATATTCTTGATACAGGTCCTTTATAAGGTGTGTGATTTGCAGATATTTTCTCCTAGCCTATGACTTCTCATTCTAGCAATGTCTTTTGGAAGGCAGGAGTTCTTAATCTTTGACCCTTTCTCTATTGAGTTTTTGGACTTTTTTTTTTTTTTCTTGATTTTTAGGAGCTCTTATCTGTGACATGGTTGCATATATTTCCATCTACTTTGTCATTTATCTTTCACTTTGCTTTTAGTGTATTTTGCAGTGCTGAAGTGTTTTATGTAGTCAGACTTACCATTTTGTTTTTTTATTGCACCTGGATATAGAGTCATGGTTAGAATTTCTACAAACTCAATTTATGTAAGAGATTTATGTATTTTCTTCTAGAACTTGTATGGTTTTGTTTTGTACATTTAGATCCATAGTCTATCTAAGGGTTATTCAGGTGTAGAGGGACAGCATATCTAATTTAAATATTTTTCTATCAAGTTCTCCAGTTGTTCTGATACCATTTATTGAAAAGACCACCTTTTTTGCAGTGGTTCATCAAATGCAGTTTTCTGGTCTTTCTGTTCCATTCTCTTGGTCTGCGTTATGGACTACTACACTGTTTAACTCTAGAGCAGTGGTTTTCAAATTTTTTTTTTAGAGACAGAGTCTCATTTTATTGCCCTTGGTAGAGTGCTGTGGCATCACAGCTCACAGCAGCCTCCAACTCCTGGGCTTAGGCAATTCTCCTGCCTCAGCCTCCCAAATAGCTAGGTCAATTTCTTTTTTTATTATTATTTTTTTGAGACAGTCTCAAGCTGTTGCCCTGGGTTAGAGTGCTGTGGCATCACAGTTCACAGCAACTTCAAACTTTTGGGCTTAAGCGATTCTCTTACTTCAGCCTCCCAAGTAGCTGGGACTACAGGTGCCCACCACAACACCTGGCTATTTTTTTTGTTGTTGCAGTTGTCATTGTTGTTTTTTAGCTGGCCAGGGAGTCTCAAACCCACCAGCTTCAGTGTATGTGGCCAGCACTCTACTCACTGAGCTACAGGCACCCCCATTTTTTTTTTTTTTTGAGATAGAGTCTTACTTTGTCGCCCCCGGTAAAGTGCCCTGGCATCATCGCTCACAGCAACCTCTAACTCTTGGGTTCAAGCAATTCTCTTGCCTCAGCCTCCTAAGTAGCTGGGACTATAGGTGTCCGCCATAACACTGCTTTTTTTTTTTTAAGAGATGGGATCTTGCTTTAGCTCAGGCTGGTCTCGAACTCATAAGCTCAGGCAATCCGCCCACCTTGGCCTCCCAGAGTGTTGGGTATACAGGCGTGAGCCACACCACTGTGCCCAGCTCAATATTTTTTATCTCACTTGAATCTATACTTAAACTAACATGACACTTATGTTGATCAAATAAAAATAGAAAAAAGTCCAAACACTTTTTGCATTTTTTTTAAATAAACTTTAGAATTACCTTGTCGAGATCCAGAAAAAAATTGCCTTTTTAAAATTTTCTTATTTTTGAGACAGAGTCTCACTCTGGTGCCCTGGGTAGAGTGAGACTTCATAGCTCATAGCAACCTCAAACTCTTAGGTTTGAGCAGTCCTCTTGTTCACTCTCCCAAGTAGCTGGGATTACAGGCATGTGCCACAACAGCTGGCTAGTTTTTCTATTTTTAGTAGAGACAGGGTCCCATTCTTGCTCAGGCTGGTTTCAAATTCCTGAGCTCAGGTGATCCACCCACCCTTCTTAGCCTCTCAAAGTGCTAGGATTACTAGTGCTAGGCTTAGTGTGAGCCACCATGCCTGGCCAAAAAAATAGCTTTTATTGCTAACAAATAATTAAATTTATATGGTGATTAGGGAAGAATTGCCCTATCTAAGAACAAGTGATATCTTTCCTTTGATCCAATGGACTTCGGTGTCTTCAGGAGAATTTTAAATTTCTCATACCAGCCACAGCCCCATAGCTTTGGTTAGGGATAGAGGTGGACACCTTGCTTCTGAGAGGCAGAGATCTCATTGCCATTTTCATGTGAGATCTGGCAGTGAGGGCTCCTCTGGGTGTGCTCATAGCACCTTGGGGCTTGAGTTCTAGAAGTATCTCCACATGTTTCACACTTGGGAGTATGAAAAGAACCAGAGAATCAAAATGGACACATGGAGCCCCAGAGGCTGCTGAAGTAACCAGAAGAGATGAGGTAGGTCCCAGGCAATATCTCCGTTACAGCATATTCTTCTACCTCTCTCCCTCCAGAAAGCAATTAGGCCTCTTCTGTTCCAATTCCTTAAGTTATTCCTCAAGCATTCTAGCCCATTGAGAAACTGTACCATTAAACCATAGCCATGTAGGAAGAGATCAAGTTATTTCTTCTACTGACCTGCCCTCCTCAGCTTTGTTAGATCCCCAGGTAATTTCTTTTTTTTTTAGAGACAGTATCACTTTTATCACCCTTGGTAGAGTGCTGTGGAGTCACAGCTCACAGCAACCTCAAACTCCTGGGTTTAGGTGATTCTCTTGCCTCAGCCTCCCAAGTAGCTGGGACTACAGGCATCTGCCAGAACGCCTGGCTGTTTTTTTGTTGCAGTTTGGCCGGGGCTGGGTTCAAACCCACCACCCTTGGTATCTGGGGCTGCTGCCCTACTCACTGATCCACAGGCGCCGCCCAGATCCCCAAGCAATTTCAACAATAACAACAAAAACAAACAAACAAACAAAAAAACACGTTTAGAGATTATCTCTGGTTAATTAGTATATTTCCTTTTATATGCCAGGTTTCTTCATGACCGAAATAGTGCTGCTTTCAAATTCTATCGGAAGAAAGTATTTGAACTGTGTCCATCAATTTGTTTCACATCTTCTCCACTTAATGTCCACACCAGCGGGGAAAGTGCAGATTCTCAGGAGAGCCCCATAGACCACGTGGAAGGGGAAGCAGAGTTTGAGGATGAGCCTCCTCAGCGGCAAGCTGAGCTGCAGAGTCCAGAGGTGATGCCTGAGGAGGATGACGATGACGACGAGGATGATGGGGATGGGGCAGAGGAGGCCCCCACTCAAGGAGGGGCCAGCAAATCTTCAGGCAGCACCCCTGCTGACAGCCTCCCTAGTGAAGTTACAGAGGACGACTCAGCCGGAGTGCCTGCCCTGTCACAAGCCTCTTCAGGTACCTGCTTCCCCCGGAAGAGGATCAGCAGCAAATCTTTGAAGGTTGGCATGATTCCAGCTCCCAAGAGAGTATGTCTCATCCAGGAGCCAAAAGGTGAGTGCCTGCCTGTCAGCACAGACACCCCCAGTAGGCTTCTTGGTGGTAGTCCATGGAAGGTAGTAGAGACATGGCCTGACCAGATGAAGAATGTGCTTGCCCTTGGCCCTAGCTCAGCCACGTCACCATCCCCCTGGCCTTGGTCCCTGCCTCTCATCACACCCACCAGCCTTCCTGGTAACCTCAGTGTTCTGATAGGATGACATATCCTCCAAATCCCTCCACTACTTTCTGTGGATTTCTAACCAAAAAGTATGTCCCCAGGGGCCTGTGAGTGGCTGTTTCCCCAAAGTGGCCAACACAGCACATGCTTCTCAAGGGTCTTGTGCTTTCATTGTGGTTTTTTTTGTTTGTTTTGGCTGAGGCTGGGTTTAAACCTACCACTTCCAGTATATGGATCTGGCACCCTACTCCTTTGATCCACAGGCGCTGCCCGGTCTTGTGCTTAAAGAGTTCTTTTTTTTTTTTTTGAGACAGAGCCTCAAGCTGCCCCCCTGGGTAGAGTGCCGTGGCATTACAGCTCACAGCAACCTCCAACTCCTGGGCTCAAGCGAGTCTCCTGCCTCAGCCTCCCAAGTAGCTGGGACTACAGGCGCCCGCCACAACGCCCGGCTATTTTTTGGTTGCAGCTGTCATTGTTGTTTGGCGGGTCCGGGCTGGGGATTCGAACCCGCCACCTTAGGTGTACGTGGCTGGCGCCTTAGCCAGTTGAGCTATAGGTGCCAGGCCAACCTTAAAGAGTTCTAAAGTAGTTTTTCACACCACTCCAAAATGTCCATGTAAGACTCACATGTCTAGTTTGTTTGAAATCATTGCTCTAAGGTGATACTTCATGGATAATTGGCGTGCAGTCTCTACATGGTATCTCCCTTTTAGCAAATCTGAGGGGTGCTGCCCTCAGATTTGCTGGTCCCTCCATGAGTGGGGGCCTACTCTGCCCTGTCCCCATCATCCTCATCATCATCATCGTCCTCCTCAGGCATCACCTGGGCTTTTCTTACTGCCCAGATTCAGGTAGGAACATCCCTAACCTTGGAGGGGGTTGGCCTGGGTTATCTAAGTTGTTTCTTGTCCATGACATTGGGAGATGGGCAGCCTTCTGAGCCCCTGGAAAGTCCAGGGTCATGACTCCTGGTTCATATCATGACAATTAGGTGGAGGTACACAGTGGGGCTGATCACAGGCAGCTGTCAGTGAAACCTATGGGCTCTGTGCTCTGCCTGCCTTGGCCATGGAGACTGTTGCCTGCTATCTTGTGGGAAGAGTTAGGGTTTTTGAGGTACAATTTACTAGTACAGTTCACCAGCAATGTACTCTTTTCAAGTGGGTCTGAAGGACTTTGGTAAATGTGCATAGGTAGGAACCCAACAGTCTAGCAGAGCTAACGCCCATTCCCAGAAAGTGTGTCTTATCCCTTTGCAGTCTCCTGCCCCATCTGGCCCTGGCATCCACTGACTTTTCTGGGCCTGAAAAGGTTCTGCTTTTCATAGACTGTCTGAACATAGAATTGTACCACATGCAGCCTTTTGATGGGCTGGCTAGCCATGGCCCAGGTTACTCCTGGTGTTCCCCATGCCCACCTGAGTTGTCTGCACAAAGTCAGGCCTAGGCTGTGCTGTTCATGTTAGGCTGCTAATGAGAAACCTGTGTGTGAAGGTGTTGCAGTGAATGGGTTCTCTATTGTGCGACTGCATTAAACAGTCACCTGTGTGTTCTTTGTCACTGAGACAGTTACTTTCACAGGCAACTGTGTCCTTATAGTTTCTTCTGCTTTGGAATGGTTCTTGTGGTTTGTGTTTACAAACCTTGATGTTGGGCCAGGTGTGGTGGCACATGCCTGTATCCTAGCACTCTGGGAGGCCAAGGTGGTTGGATTGCCTGAGCTCAGGAGTTAGAGAGCAGCCTGAGCAAGAGCAAGACCCGTCTCTAAAAATAGCTGAGTACTGTGGTAGACACCTCTAATCCCATCTGCTGGGAAGGCTGAGGCAAGAGAATCACTTGAGCCCAAGAGTTTGAGGTTGCTGTGAGGGATGGTACTCTACAGAGGGTGACAAAATGAGACTCTTGTCTCAGTAAAAGAAATAATAAATAGGCTCGGCGCCTATAGCTCAACCGGCTAAGGCGCCAGCCACGTACACCTAAGGTGGCGGGTTCGAATCCCCAGCCCGGACCCACCAAACAACA